TTCTGCTTTCTTTGTTCTTTCTATTTTTTTGAAGTTTTTTCTCAGATTATCATAGAAAACACTATCTCAGGAGGGATATATCAGGACGTGTAAAACTTTTTTGAGTATGGTATTTAGATTTCATTGGGCATTCATCTTTTCATTATATTTTCACTATGGTTTTTGGTTTAATATACGGCAGTATGTTTCATCATTATGTTTATGAATTTGTCGTCTATTATACTCTTTTTTGCAACAAAGAGTCATGGATAATGTTTGTTTTCTAGCCATAGTACGATGAAACGTCTGACCAATGAAATCTTATCACACTCAAAAAAATTACATACCTTATATCTTCCTTCTACTACTCAGTGACCTCCACTCTTCTGAAAAAAATGCGGGACATGGCTACGTATAAAAATTCTGCATATAAAAGGCACAAAATGTTCACTTTGAAAAGAAGAATTTAAATATATGAGAAAAGGACAAGAAAAAGCAGGAATGCCCATGTCCTCACTTGCATTGATCTTCAGATGACATGCTCTGCCTACATCCGGAATTGTGCAGTCACGGAAAAAGGAAAGACTTCTATAAACACACCTTTATTTCTAGATTTGTTTTAAGGGCTCTATATAGTTAGTTTTTGTTCGAACAACTTTTGAGTTTTTATTATATAAGCTTGTGCGCTTATTTTGTTGCTAATACTCAAAACCCTTCTTTATTATGATAGACCTCTTTTGGTATCGGGTGAATCGCTCTTTAATTATGGATTTAGTGACGATGGAGCTCATCACTATCCTTGTCCGGTCCCTTCTTGTGACTATAGCAGCGAAAGTCGTTCTGCCCGAAACTACCACTTGAGAATTGATCATTCTGGTTACGATTATCAAAATGCTAATCAAGCGTCATCTAGTCAAGATGCATCACGACATGCCACTCGTAAAGTAATTTTTTGGTAACGTTTATCGTCAACAGTCTATGATTACTATCATCCTCATCGAATAGGTTACGCGTGAATATGGAAACAGAAAAGAAGCTGCTCGCAAAGGATCTTCGAGCTCACACAATGTCAAGATTGAGGCCGAGGTTGGAGATCAGTTTTGTTGTATTCAAATATTCTCTCGGGATACTCTAAGACTCTAAATGCCTATTTAGCTCGATGATATCCACCCATTTGAAGCCAGTAGTAGTACACGAATTGAAGACTATCACCCAGTCGACTCGAGTGACGCTTATTCAGAAATAGAAGAGTTTGATGTGGATGAACACTATGACCTTTCTAACTATACAGGAGTTGATGTATGAGCTGTTG